TTTTTCCACTTTCAAGCTACCACGTAGCTATACAAATTTCATACATTTGAACCAATCGGGTTCCATTTAATACCATTTTAAACCTTTTCTTTATCAAATGAGGTTTAAACAAAGATTCAGGCCAAACCTGACGTTTCCTTCTCAATAACATCCAGACTATGATTTCCAATAAGAACCTTGATCCTAAATATTTAAATCACAAAGAAATAAAGATTTCAAACCACGGTAGTCTTAAGGGATATAATAGAAAAAGTTATATAATACCACACACAGACAATGCCACCCTTATAACAAATGTACACCTCTCCTTGATATGTCACCCTTATATCAAATGGACACCTCTCCTTGATATGTCACCCTTATATCAAATAGACACCTCTCCTTGATATGTCACCCTTATATCAAATGGACACCTCTCCTTGATATGTCACTCTTATATCAAATGGACACCTCTCCTTGATATGCCACTCTTATCACTTCATCAAAACATTTATAAAATAATTCTGAATAGACCGCAGTCATTGGAATTGTTATCAGTCTAAAAACATTTATATCAAAACTTCATTTTTATGATAAAATAATAATTTCAATCAAAAAGATTCTCAACACAATCCGGTCAACAACCGGTCAACAATCCGGTCAACAATCGTCCGGTTTAAATACTTGGAATAAAATCCACTGTCCGGACATCAAATCCGGTCAACATACCACACATGCTTTGGACGGTTTAACACTTAAAAAAAACAAAATTCATCTTTTTGTCCGGATAACAAGTCCGGTCAACATTTCGCTCAAGACTTGACCGGTTTAAATAAACCGCTCACCATATGATCGTATTCCTACTTCTCGGTATATAATAACAAGTATTCTTACCAATTATATCCACTTAACACTTAACCGGTTTATCAACATCCAGACAATAAACCGTTCAAGTCTTGCCCGGTTTAGACTAATCTGGACAATAAACCGTTCAAGCCTTGCCCGGTTTAGACTAATCCGGTCAATAGGCCGCTCAAGGCTTATCCGGTTTAAACAATTATCCGGTCACCCTTTGTCCGGATAAACACTTAAGCAATATAATCAATGTTTCTTTCCAAATGATATCAATACGAAGCATGCAAATAAAACCAGTAGAATCTTTATACAAAAAGGTTTAGAAATCACTCACCTTATAAAGCTTTTGAATCCAAAACGCTAGAAATCAACCCTTTTTAAACTTGACACTTGCAAATCAGCTTGAAATCACCCCTTTTTAGCAAACCGGACAACACTTATCTTTAAACCTCTCAATTTCTCAAAATAGCAAGAAGACAGCAAATGAAAGACTCAACCCCTTTTATACTTTCCAAATATGGAAGGAACCGCCTTCCCTCCTCCTTTCCACCTCATGCATACTTAAATTATGCACACTCACACATACATACATACATTCATAGCACATGCATGCATAATTTATCTTATGCATATGAATATATATATATATATATATATATCATGTATTTCTGTATACATATATATATAAATATATATATTCAATTAATACACAACTTCACATACTGGCATGTATCGATTTATCATGCAATCACGTAATCATTTAATCAAATAATCACGTATTAAATACCTTGGGTAATAAACAAGATCCGG